AAGGGAAAGAAAAGCTGAGGTTTAATGGTAACATTTAAATGGCATACAGAGCCCTTTGAGTTCACACCTCATTAATGTGAACAGGAAGAGAAGGGGTGCACATCCTTGTTGTTACTTTTGCCTTGCAGCATTTTCAGCCAAGCTATGTGAACAGACCGGCAGCATATTAACTAACTTTGTAGCAGCTATATTTTTGTAGCAGGTTTGTTTTCTTTGGGTTAGTTGGGTATCTTTTTTAAGTTTAAAAATTACAAAACTTTGTGAAATGGAGCCAGGGCAGGCCCTTAAAGGACAATTATTTTGGCTTCCTATTTTTTGCAAGATAGCCAGATACAAATCTCCTTTACCCAATTAGGGGGGTTCTTTTGACTAAACTTCACATGCTCTTCTATTTCTGAGATGTGTTCCACAGCACCAAAAGTGACTTGGCACAATATTTCTTGCCCTGGGCACAAGCATGTTTATCTGAGATGACCAAATACAGGTACATTTTTAAATTGCATGTTACACACTCCTGTAGCAGACTCTATGTTGCAGTTTTATAGATGGGGTTTGGCCCTAAAATATGTTTGGCACTGGAATCCCTCAGCAAATTTGCTGACAGCTGTGTGGTAAGGTCAACAAGCTGGAAGGCAAGGGTGCCATCCAGAGGGACCTTGACAAGCTTGAGGGGCCAGTATGTGCACACGTCATGGAGCTCAGCAAGGCCAAGTACAAGGTCCTGCATCTGGAGTTGGAGCAATCCCAAGTACAAATACAGACTGGGAGGAGAATGGATTGAGAGCAGCCCTGAGGAGAAATACTTGGGGGTGTTCACGGACAAGAAGGTCAATATGACCCAGCAATGTGTGCTTGGAATCCAGAGAGACAACCACATCCTCGCTGCATCCAAAGCAGCGTGGCCAGCAGGTCAAGGGAGGTGATTCTGCCTCTCTGCTGTTCACGTCAGACCCCACCCAGAGTGCTGCATTCAACTCTGGGGTCAGCATAACAAGGACATGGACCTGTTGGAATGAATACAGATGAGAGTCACTAAGTGAATCACTGGACTGGAGCATCTGTCGTGTGAACACAGGCTAAGACTTGGAGATGTACAGCCTGATTAATAGAAGGCTTCACGGAGACCTTTCAGTACCTAAACAAGGCCACAGGAAAGCTGAAGATGGACTTTTCACAAGGGAAGGCAATGATAAGACAGGAGTGAATGGCGCTTTAAGCTGAAGGAGAGTAGGTTTAGGTTAGAGACTACAAAGAAATTCTTTACTAAAAGGTGGTGAGGCACTGGCATTTGTTGCCCAGAGAGTTTGTGGACTCCCCATACCTGGAAGTAGGCTGGATGGGGCTCTGAGCAGCCTGGTCAAGTGGAAAGCTCCCTGCTCATGGCAGGGGGATTGGAGTGAGATGATCTTTAAGGTGTCTTCCAACCTAAGCTATTATATATGATTCTACGATTTGTGACCATGTCTTCCAAGGCTTTTAGCACATATCAGCTTGAGAGTATGATTCAAAAGAGGCAGAGAAAGAACTTCTGTACAAAAAGTGCTAACCTAACTTCTCACTTTCTCTTCTGCCCTTTTCTGTTACATCAGACTGAACGTGGATCAACCACTCCCAAATATTGCCTTACTGTTGTCATAGCAGGAGAGATTAGGGAAAGCAGTAAAGGTTATTTTCATGCAAACATCTGATTTTACACTGGGATCTCCAGGATAATGGAAGGATAGGTTATTTCTGCTCTGGATCCT